CCATGGATAATATATGTTGGACAAGGACTGACTCCTCTGTAAAGCTCAATTTCTGAGTTTTAGACAAAGATTCACATTGTGAAACACAGCCATTAATCTGATGAGTAAGAATAGAATGAGAAACATCATACGGTTTAGCAGCTGCTCAGATACTTGAAATTTGACCTGATTTAAATGCCTGGACAGTCAGTAAAATTCTTCCTTCCTGACAGGAAGCTTCATCTCATGCGGTTGACATTTGTAGCAAGGACAACACATCGCGTCTTAGAGAGTAGCTCGCTGGCTGGTGTGGCTCACTTACTGTGAACTAACTAGTTAGTTAACATTGGGAATCAGGTTATGTAATCAACCCCTGAGCGAGCAGCCAAATCTCCGGATTCCAACCGGCTGAATTTTAACCTGAAATATCTCGAACAACCGTGAATTATATTACATTATTTTATTATTGTAGGATTATGTGTTCTTTTACATAGGAGTGCATTGCAATTGCTTCACTGTGGTGTTGTTCGTGAGCGTGGCATAGACCCTGAGGCCTTAGGGATGAGGAATTGAATGACTGGCTGTTTAACAGACGCAACAAACAGAATAATGATCTGTTGCAGCCTCTTCCCTGGATAGACCTCCCTTATGTTGAATTCAGCGCTTAGATCTTTGACTTTTAACTATGATGTATTTATAGATCTTGAAAATCTGATAGAGACCATTCACCAAGCTCTGAAAGAGACTTTCAAGGCTTTGTCTTATCAGATTTTTGACCTTATTTAACTGCCTATGCAACTGACAAGAGTTGTTAAATTAACAATTTGTGAGAGTAGAAGTTCAAAGCTGAATGAATATTTAGCTGTTAAATAACTTTACAGATTTTAGTTGACTTGTAGATTTTAGTTTTTATCAATATAAAGAAATAGAGACGAAATAATATAGAAAAAGAAAGAAAAATAATTAATCATATTCTCAATAAATAACACCAGCTAAAAGAGGCATTCTTATTTTAGCTAGATTAAAAACTCACAGAACTAGTTAACTAGCAGATGCTCCTTAGACTTGGTTAATGTATTTGAATTTATACATAAATTCACATCCCGAACTTAAAATCTATGGTTTAGAGTAGAGTATGGCACATCAAAAAGGTGTGCAATATATATATAGCTTTAGAAATGGAGGAAATTTATTCTGAGTTCAAATCTTTCCTCTATTTCTACGGAGTTTCTAGCATTTTTAATGCGAATTGGTGGCTTAATAGTATTATTATCTCCTATTCTGGCGACTTGCAATTTTTAGCGCAGTTACATTAGTGTATTTATTGACTATCAAGTTAGAATGAATGATTTGACCAATAAGCTCTCATACTAAAATATATGTAAGATTATTGGTTCAAACATCCCCACCCATTCGCGAAAACCATGTTGACCAACAACCCAACGCGTGCCAACGCGATTTATTGAAATATTTTCATGATTCTCAGCTTCACCCACCACCCACCCTGCAGCTGAGTATGAATACAAATATTTATACCATGGAATTACCTGTGAATTCTGAAGGTATTTCTCTTATTTTCAATTACTACTATGTTTAAACTAATCAATTCCTTTCTTAGAGCCTGAAATAATGCCTAGAAATCAAAAAAAAAAATGCAAGCAACCAGTTGAGGAAGTCATTGCAGATATTTCCTCTATTGAAAATATTCAGTTCACTCCCATGCAGCTTATATATCAACCCCCAGTTCTTAACCTCCCGGCGAACATTGATATAAAGGATCCATACACATTATTCACACTATTCATACAAGAGGCTGATATAGAGCTTATATCCAAATCTACAAATCTATACGCCAATATCCAGTTACCAAAAAAAACTCTCAATCCATGCTCGTGAATGAAAGCCAACTACTACCTCTGATATCAAGGTATTCCTTGGTATAATCATATATATGGGAATACATAAATCACCATCTGTTTCTCATTACTGGCAGTCAAGTAATGCCCAGGGTCCAATTTATACACCACCACATCATATGTCAATTAAACACTTCGAACAAATTAAACAGTTTATTCATATTTCAAATCCATATGCGGCAGAGGTTTCCTTCTACAGCAAGCTAGAGCCATTAATCCTGAACTTTCGTGCAGTGTGTAAGAAGTTATATACGCCGGGTTCAAATCTATCAATTGATGAGGTGATGATTTGGTTCTTTGGGAGGTCAAAACACACAGTGAAAATGCCCAACAAGCCCATTAAACGGGGATATAAGGTGTTTTCTCTAGCAGAACATGGATATCTATGGACTTTTTGCTTGTCAAGTCATCAACTGGGCATTGTGGGTATGTTCAAACACCCAGAGCTTACCAAGACCGGATCTCTTCTTATGGAAATGACAGAAGAACTACCATATCTTTCCCTGGAATCTTCATCTCATGCTCAATCAGAGAGAGAGTCAGTCAATAATAATGATGTCACTGGCTATGCAATTTATATGGACAACTACTTCACATTGATTGCTCTATTCAACTACCTTCAAGAATGTGGCTATGGTGCCTGTGGAACTACTCGGCCCGGTGGCCTTCCTCCTCTTCTTCAGGAAATGAAAGATCATGGTGCCTCCAGCAAGCTACCATATAATACTCTATGCTTCATACCAGAGAAGCAAGTTCTCTGTCTTGGATGGAAAGATAATAATGTGGTATTAGCACTGTCTATAATTCATTCACCAGACAGTTTTATTACTCGCAATTGAAAATGGCCAGGAATCACCTCTACGAATGGACCTCAAATTCACCGTATATTTGGCAATGACTCAGTGAAAAGCCTTGATATTCCTGTCATGATTGATGACTACAATCATTATATGAATGGAGTGGACCTTGCAAATCAGTATAGATTGGCATATGAGACTCATAGAATCACATATAGAAACTGGTTAGCAATTCTATATTGGATAATTGACCATGCAGTTGTCAATTCTTATATTCTCCATAAGATGAGGGCTTCTCACCCGCTAAGTCATGCTGCATTCCGTGAGAAGCTCTATCTTCAACTCTTTAAGTTCTCATCCACACTACCACCCGAACGATTGAATTCCACCCTAAAACATGAGCGAATTTCTCTTCCAACTATACGAACTTGTGCCTGGTGTCAATACAAAAAACAGCAGGGTCAGCGGAATTAAAAACGGCTTCCACAATCAATGCGTGGCTGTTCTACATGTCAAAATACCCACCTCTGCGTGAAAGGTCGATGCTGGGCAGAATTCCATTCAATTAAACTAAATGAGGGTTAGCTCAAATAGATTACATAGATTACACCAATACAGCTAAATACTGCGGATCCTGGTTTAGAATCAATTAGATCACTGTATTTAATACACTAATGTACACACTAAAAAACTGCGCTAAAAATTGCAAGTCGCCAGACGAGGAGATAATAAATATACAATGTAAACTTTATATATCTTTAAATATGGGTGTTGAAGTAGATGAGTTAGGAGATGAGAATATTTTTGGATTGGCTGCTCGCTTGCGGTGGATTAGTTAGTAACGCTATGTGGAGTCGCTGTCGCCAAGGCGTGTAACGTTGAACATCCATGCTTCCAACTTACGGCTGACGCTCACATTTGCACTTGAAGGGTCCATCATGCAGACACGAGATGAGGCCTAGAGCGCCCCTCTGAATCCATAATTCTGTTTCTCCATCAGGATAATGCCAAGGAAGTTTCAGGTTCAGCGCAGACTAAATGATCCTGGGATGGTTGGCTTTCAAGACCAGCCTAGTTACACATTCACTTGATCAATGCGCCCTAAGCTGACCGCATTGATCAGTGTGTATTAACTAAGACGTAAGAGTGATAAGTAAGCTGTTCGTGGCCTGAAGTACGATGAAGTGAGAGGATGTAATTAGGAGAAATTCTTTTGAAGTTGAGGAGGTTGAGAAACTTTTCCAAGGGTTGAGATAGGAGACGTTCTCAGACGTATGCGGTTAGCCCTTGTAGGGGCGGATCATTATTCAGTCAACCTTTGAACTGAGAGCAGGCTGGATAAACCCACGGAACGACAGGTGGATGGACCAGCAGAACCAGGAATCAAAATCAGGAACTGGGGTTAGGATCAGGATGAGAGACACCTACACTTGAGCAAGGATATTCGAGCCCTGTGCCTCAGAAACAGGTGACTTGGTGGGTTTTATAACCATCGTTCTCTGCTGGTGGCGCATAATGCCAGATGCAGCAACAAGCTACAACATTGCAGTGATTCACTAAAAACCAGGTATAGCCCCCGACAGCTGTGTAAGCTGTGTGGTGTCTCCTCGTCAGTCAACGACCATGCAAGGGCTGGGATTCCCATTCATGAACTGTCAGGTCCTGCCCTTGTTATTAACTGCGCGCTCCGTCAAACACACCTTGAATTTTGACCCTTGACTCCTTCAGCAACAATTCAAGTTCTGGCATGAACACAAGGATTTCCGCCTCCCACAAACAACCAATGGCATTTAGTCAACTCACGGTCAGACTAGCCCAAGGTTCTGTAGGGGCGATCGCATTGCATCCATGCCCGCCATCCATCAAAAAGACAAATTTTACAGAAGCCCAGATGCCTGACAGCTCCCGTACAATATCGGGAGAGCTGTAAATCAGGCTCTGAATATGAACACATATGTTGTTCATGTTTTCCTCGAATATATCAACCCATCTATTCCATTACACCAGCCGTACCCCACTACCCGCCGACATCTATGTTCAGCTGAAGTAAATAATGCCCGCATACCAAGGGGCGGTCTTGGTACCATTTCACGTGATCTACTAACGCCGCAACCAGTTTTTGTATCTTAACCGCGCCGCCTTGTTTTCACCAACCTCTCCTCTTCCTTCGCATGCCCCCTTTACCCCTTTTTCCTTTTGCCTTTTCCCTGCTCCCCTGTGGCCCTCAGCCCCGGCTGCCGGGACAATCTTTCCTTCAGCCGTCCTCCTTGACAGACGGAGGAATTCTCGCTCAGTCATCACATCAACAATGGTGCAAGGTCCGAGGTATCGGCGAACTTTCCTGCTGGTTCTTACCACCCTCTTCCTCTACTTCACCCTCCGCAGAACTGTCTTCTCCTCCTCCGCAGACAATGATTCCTCAGAATCAATACAAAATGGCATTCCGACCACCGCAAAACACGGCGAGTTTTGGGTGACCTTCCATGAGATCTTAAAGGCTGCTGAGCCGCACTGCAAGTCGCCTAAACGGATAGAAGACCATCCCGCCGCAATTGGCTTCAAGCCCGACCAGATAGACAATGTCACCTTACCGGAACATATTATTGTGGACAGGGAGGACAGGGCGATATTGAAGAAGGCCCACTTGCTATTTACCAGCTTTCTTTCAGACTCAACAGCGCCTAGACTGCAGTACACTCCGGGCACTAAGGGTATCGTGTCTACCGCAGGGGGGAAATATCTTCCCGTACTAGTAACCTCGCTGCATATGCTGCGGAAGACAGGCTCAGACTTGCCTGCTGAAATATTCGTGGCGGACAAAAGTGAATACGATGAATACGTCTGCGGCGTACTTCTGCCTTCAATGAACGCGAAATGCGTCATCCTGGCAGAAATCTTGGATTTCTCACCGTTAGACGAGGGTCTAAAGAAGTACCAATTCAAGATCTTCTCACTCCTTTTTTCCTCTTTCGAGCAGGTACTCTTCCTCGACGCGGATGCTTTCCCCATGCACAACCCAATCCACCTATTCAACTCAGATCCCTTCATTTCAACAGGCATGGTTACCTGGCCCGACTTCTGGCAGGTTACCTATCATCCTTCATTCTTCGAAGTCTCATCCCAAAAAGTCCCAACGGGATTTAGCCACGCATCCACAGAATCTGGCCAGGTCCTTGTATCCAAGAAATCCCACGCGAAAATGCTCCTGCTATCAGCTTATTACAACTTCTATGGCCCGTCGCATTACTATCTCTTACTATCTCAGGGTCACCCAGGTGAAGGAGACAAAGAAACTTTCATTGCCCCCGCCATGATCCTGAATCTCCCATTCTACGCCGTCTCCACCGGACCAGCTGTATTCGGCTACCGAAAACCCAACGGGGAATGGGAAGGCGGCGTGATCCTCCAAGTCAATCCGATATGGGACTTCAACATCCCGAAGGGCCAAGTCTACGGCTGGAGCGGCAAACCCAGCTCTCCTCCCGAATCATTCATCACTTGCCACGCCAACCTGCCAAAACTAGACCCAATGAGCGTCTTTGGTGAAAAAGGACTGGCGTGGGATGGTGAGGGCAAGCCGCAGCGAATGTGGGGTCCTGCACGCGAAATGATTGCCAAAGTCGGCTTTGATGTAGAGCGGAGACTTTGGGGGGAGTTGAGGACTACCGCTTGCGAGATGGAGGGCAAGTTCCAGCCTTGGAATGATAAGCCGAAGCTTTGCGAGAAGATCGGGCAGTTCATGGCGCAGATAGGATAAACAAAATCTTTGAATGGAATCCCATTATTACCTTTTGGATTTTCATTCTTTGTCTGTGATTTCTTCTTTTGCGCCCGGAAATAATGACTTAACATGACCATGTGTTGGCATCGAAGAGACGGGAAATTGTGCGTGGTTGGATTGGACTTTTGCGCAATGCTTCATTTTAATCAAGATCGCTGCAACCTTTGTCCGCAAAGCTGGGGAAAACTTATTGTTTCCCGTGTCCTGCAGATCCCTAGCGCTCTCCCGCATGGTCCCTATATTAGCCCACCATATACGATTGGCCTGACTGCGACAGGTATATATTGGTCAAACACGTCGGCTTTTGATAATGACTGAAAAAGGATGGTGATTTTGGGACGGATATGGACAATCCGGAAATCATTACCGCAACAATTCTTATTCCATTTTGAAAAGAGACGGGTCAAGATCACCAAACGTGCCTGCACAGAATGACTGGGGGACCTCCCATCCGGTATATGCGGAAGCGCAGAGAGTGACGGATACCTGCCATACAGACTTTCCTTCCTTTCCGCGTTGAAACGTTACGGTAAATGGGTGCGAAAAGTAGCATCCATGTTGTCATGTCCATCTGTTTCTTTTCCTTATTTCATTTTTCATTTTCCTTTTTCCTTTTTTTATTTTTTTATTTTTTATTTTTTTTTGGGGGGGGGAAGGGGTCTTGTTTTTCAGCAGCTTCATTGGCATGGCGTGTATAGAATTAGACAGCATTCTGCCTTCATCGGTTTATTTTATTTTTTATTTCTTAGCTTTTTCGGGCGGGCTCCGGAAGGTTCCTTGTTTTGCATTATTGAAGTTCTGACAACCGGACAATGTCAAATTTTACTCATTTCATTTCTCACTTTAGCAGTACTTTTATAGTTACCATATTCTTCCTTGTCATTATGCACTTTTATTTTTATTTTATTTTATTTTATTTTTATTTTATTTTATTTTATTTTTTCATTCTGTTCGGTTTTGGCGACTTTTATTTTATATTTTTGATGCGATGGAACTATAGAGATAGACAAGCTGTCTTCTCAAGGGCTTTTCACAGTTTTGTATTTACATTCTTGGGTATACCCTGGTGCTTTCGACCTGGCGGTTGATTGGTTTCTCTTTTATCTTTAAAAATTGCCTCTTGATATATACTTTTTACGGGCGGCATATGTTTCATCATAACCAGAGAGCGTCTCACATCCTCATGTGATGAATCGGCCTGTTTCTACTTTCAAAGTGATGTGATACTATATTGCACGTGCATTTATTTCACTTCATGCAGGGTATTATTATTTTATATTTTTTGCTCTCTTCAAGTGCTTTATTCCTACGATATGAAACAATATTTTATGACTAGATTTGCTCTCGCATTGGACTTTTTTGTATGTTTTGATTTCTTGTTTATTCGCTGAGTGCGAATTATCATCATGCAAATAGTTTATACGGACATGAGTAGTATGTATTGAACAACTGGATGTTGATGGGGGAAGTGAGAGCAGAGATATGTCATTAGTAGACCTAGTACACGATATTGGATGTAGATAACATGAGGGAACTCGCTATAGTTACTCATTTCATCAACTGATTTCCTTCAATTCTCTACTCTGGATGGCTTAGTAATTCTCCCCCGCGAACCGCGTCTCATTGTCCCTCCATAGCTTTAGAATTCTCCTCAAGGTATGCCTTTGCCGCTCCCACCTTTAATACCCCGAGGTATGAAACCCGAAAATATCTCGCAGAGCAAATCGCAGTAATCATCCCTCGTTCGCTCACCCAAAAAAAAAAAAAAAAAAAAAAAAAGGAAAAAGGAAAACCAAAATCTAGACAGAATGAAAAGGCTCAACTTCAAAGAAAATGGAACTCAATTCTTCAAACTCGATGAAATGAAGGCACTTCATATCATAGAAAAGAATGAAAATAAAGAAGATTGGACAATACAATTCTTCCACCAGCCCCACTGATCAGCTTACTCAGGGTCCCCAACAACCTCCCCCTTCTTCTCCACCTCCATCACCTTATCATCTTCTATCCCCCCCCTTTCCCACCCTTCCCGCTCATCTTGCCCCACTCCCTTCCCCCCCTCAATCTCACTCAACCACTTCTTCCCCTCCTCCGTCGTTGCATCCACAATCCCCTCCTCCACCGTTAAAATCTCACTAGACCCTAGCTTTTCCACAACATCTTCCGCCTCCTCTACATTCATCTTCCCAAGCACCTTGTTAACCTCATCGAGACTCTCAGACTTGAGCGCCTTCTGCAACTCCGGCGGGAACGCATTGAAGATCTCCAGCGCCTTAACGGACTCGGGATCCGTGCTTCCCGGCGTGGGGATTTTGATATTGAGTTTCGTATTCGGGTCGACGGCGTGGAGTTGGATTTGCTCGACTTCGGCAGGTCCTTCGGAGGAATTCTTAGCTAGTTCTGCAGCGCGGACTTTGATCTTGCCGTAGGTTTCGTTAACGTCGTTGTGGAATAGTGTTGAGGCTTGGTGATCTTTGGTTGTTATGCTGTTTCGGATGAGTTAGTTATCTTGACTCTGTAGATCTACATATGTATCTTACTGCAGATGTTATGGAAGAAGGCGCTTTTAAATCTTACCGCTTAAAGAAGAGACCCACCCCATCGCTGCCAAGGGAGCGGCAATACTGCAGCAGCAGGCCTTGATGGACGCATTGGCGTGCATATTCTTCCTTCCCTGACAGCTGGGCATCGAACGCTTCCATGAGTAATTCATCTGTCTTGTGTTCCGTGACGATTTCGGGGTGATCTCCTATGAACTGAAGGCAGGATCTGTAGTCTCCAAGTTTGATCATGGCGAATTGCTTAGCTAGTGGGGTGGCTTTGATGTCGTCATCATCCTCCTCGTCTTCGCCGTCCGCTTCCGCTCCAGAGGACACGGCCCCCACATCCCCGTTAGCAACGGCACCGGGGTTCAGCAATTCCACGGAAGGGGCGGTTTCCTTCTTTTTCTTCTTCTCTGATGGCGCAGGCTTAGGCTTGGATTTGTTGACAAATGAGCTATCGAAGCCGGTGTGTATGCTGTCACTAGTAATTTTGCTGGCCTCTTCTTTCTCTAGGGCATCCAGCTTCTCCAATAACTGCTGCTGCAGGTCCAGTACTCTATTCTTGTGTCCTTCCACTCCCTTGATGTATGCCTCGAATCGATTTTCCGGCTTCGATTCATTGAGTTCTTTCTTCACCTGGTCTACCAATGACCCCATCATCTGTGAATATTTCGGCTGCTCCTTTTCCTGCTGAAATACATCTTCTGGAGCCGGCGGTGGAGTATCTTCGCTAGGGTCTCCGGCAGACTCGATCAGGGCCTGGAAGACCAGTTCATCTGGTTCCCTGGAGCTGCCTTCATGTCTCTTAAGTGAGGCTATGAGGCCATCAATGCGTTTCAGCAGTCCATCATTTATGATGCGGGAGTATTTGAGAGTTTCGATTTCTTGGTGACGCTGAATGCGCTGCTGGTGGATCTGGTTCTGTTTTGCACGGATGAAAGATCGTTTGTCGACGTTGGGATGTACTTCTATATCGGAGTCGTCAGAGAGCTCGAGGGCGTCCCATTTGCTGTAGTCGAGTACCATGTTGGCTGGCAAAACGCAAGAAGCCAGACGGGGCACGGTTGGGGGAATATAGGGGCAAATTTTGTGGTTAATTGGGGCAAATAGAATAACAATGCAGCAGGGACAAGACCGAATAAAACAACAAGAAGCACGAAGAAGCAGCCGAGAGCAGTAAAATAAAATATAATATCAGACCAGTTAGCTATAACGAACTCAGTCTTGCAGTTTTTACTTTTACAGCGAGTTTGTTGTAGTTGTTAAGTTATCTCTCCCAACGGTCAGTGGCGCAGTTTTTATTTACTGTTCGCAAAAACCCTGAACCTGTTGAACAAACTATTCCCCGTGATTCGAATCTCTTCTCCGAACATCGCAACGTCTAAACCCAACCCGTCTACAAAGATTTTCTTGGTACTTCGACAAACAACCCCCCAAGCCGGATATTTAGGCCCCCTCTGGTATACAATTAATATTCCATATTATACATATTCTCAGTCTTGAGTTGGTGTTGCTCCTGGCCGTCACACCTTTGTCTAATATGGAACGCCCTGCCGTCTCTCTCTCTCGTTAGGTTCCCCACGTCGCTGATGGGTTAAATGAGTGGCTCGAAGTTTGGACAGCTCCTCGAAAATGCGCAGATCAGGGCTGCTTGCCGCCTTCATTCCACGAGCATCTTCACGTCGCATTGCTCAGTCGGGATCGCGATCGCTTCCTTTATTTAATGATACCTCCTTCCATGCCCAGAGACCATCGCTTGATGCAAACGGTGGCTTACGACGTCACCAGTCGATCACCCCCATCGTATCTCAACGACCAGACATCCTACGGCAGGCAGACATCCGAAAGTCATCTGCAACAAAATTTCATGTCACTGTTTCATCTATCGTGGGACCTGGTTGTCTTCAGCAGGTCCGATTCCTCTCCTCTACGACAGCACGGCAAAAAGTAGCCAAACCGGAGCCCCCGACGAAGCCGCAGACAGAGCTGGAGAAGAAACAAGAAGCCGCTCTAGAAGAGATACATAGAGGATTTGAGCGTACGGAGAAGGCATCACAAGCAGCGAAAATAAACCTTAGCGCAAGATTATCAAAGGATGCGGGCGGGAAGAGGCTCGGCTTTGGCGAGATATGGCGGTTGTTGAAAATTGCCCGTCCAGAGGCCAAAATCCTGTCCATAGCGCTACTCTGCTTGCTCATCTCGTCATCTATCACCATGTCAATTCCGTTTTCCATCGGCAAGATTCTCGATATCGCAACGCATAGCAGCCCTGAAGGTGGCAATGAATTGTTCGGCCTCACGCTCCCCGTCTTCTACAGTGTCCTGGCCGGTGTTCTTTTGCTGGGTGCTGCTGCAAACTGTGGTCGTATTATAATTCTACGGATTGTGGGGGAACGTATTGTTGCGCGACTAAGATCTAAGCTCTTCAGACGTACTTTTATGCAGGATGCCGAGTTTTTCGATGCCAACAGAGTCGGTGACTTGATTTCCCGGCTAAGCTCGGATACCATAATCGTCGGCAAAAGTATCACGCAGAATCTTTCAGATGGACTTAGGGCTGCTGTCAGTGGCGTTGCTGGGTTTGGTCTGATGGCCTTTGTCAGTCTTAAGCTGTCAAGCGTTCTCCTTTTGCTGCTACCCCCAGTGGCCCTTGGAGCGTTCCTTTACGGCAGAGCAATCAGAAATATTAGTCGCAAGATTCAGAAGAACCTGGGTAGCCTGACCAAAATCGCGGAGGAGCGTCTGGGAAATGTGAAGACAAGTCAGTCTTTTGCAGGAGAGATTTTGGAGGTCCATCGATATAATAGGCAAACCAGGAGGATTTTTGAGCTGGGAAAGAGAGAGTCTTTAGTTAGCGCAGCGTTCTTTAGCATCGTGAGTACTTCCAACCGCTAATTTTTCAATCAAATCTGGTATATGCTGACAGCTATTTGTATCTTTGCAGACCGGTTTGATGGGAAATATGATGATTTTGAGTTTGCTCTATGTTGGTGGTGGAATGGTTCAGTCCGGGGCCATTTCCATTGGAGACTTAACTTCATTCCTCATGTATGCAGCATACGCTGGATCAAGCATGTTTGGCTTGTCCAGCTTCTATTCGGAACTGATGAAGGGCGTTGGTGCTGCCAGTCGACTATTCGAGCTCCAAGACCGCCATCCCACTATTCCCCCTACCGTAGGAGATAAAGTGGTTTCTGCAAGGGGAGCGATCCGGTTCAAGAATTTGGATTTCAGTTATCCCACCAGACCCGCAGTGACTGTATTTAAAGACCTCGACTTTGAGATTCCGCAAGGAAGCAACGTTGCAATCGTCGGCCCCTCGGGAGGCGGTAAATCCACGATTGCCTCCTTGTTACTGCGCTTCTACAACCCTACCAGAGGCCAGATTATGATAGATGGGAAGGACATCTCCTCAATGAATGCGAAATCTCTACGAAGGAAAATCGGCGTCGTGGCGCAGGAGCCCGTACTCTTCTCTGGAACTATCGCTGAGAACATATCCTACGGCAAGCCCCATGCGACAAGGACGGAAATAATCGCAGCGGCGCGCAAGGCCAACTGTCAATTCATCAGTGACTTCGTAAGTGACATCTACCTTCCCCTCCAAGCATCCCACCTACCCGCTTTACTAATACAAGACTCGTTTCCCGATTCAGCCCGATGGCCTCGACACACACGTAGGCGCCCGCGGCGCTCAACTCTCCGGCGGCCAAAAGCAGCGAATCGCCATCGCCCGTGCCCTGATCAAAAACCCAGACATCCTCATCCTCGACGAAGCCACGTCCGCCCTCGATGCCGAATCCGAGACGCTGGTCAACAGCGCTCTTGCCGCATTACTCCGCGGCAATAATACGACAATCAGCATCGCCCACCGTCTCTCCACCATCAAGCGCTCCGACACCATCATCGTCCTCAGCGGTGACGGCCACGTTGCGGAGCAAGGTTCATATCTGGAACTGAGCGCGCGACCGGACGGTGCGTTTACGAAGCTTATGGAGTGGCAGATGAGCTCTGAGGGGGGGGCTGTGCAGTCGGTGGTTAGGGGACCGCCGTCTGAGAAGGAGGAGTTGCAGCAAATGCTGCAGGAAGGGGAGGAAGATTATGGAGAGTATGATGATGATGGTGATGTGGAGTTGGAGAAGGTTGCTGAGAGGAATGGTGTTGCGGAGGGACCTTCGAAGGAGAAATATGCGGTGGCTGTTGGCATAGAGGCCAGTATTGCTACTTCTAAGCAGCAGCCGTCCCAAGAAAAATAGAATGGTAAGCAAATGTGAATACTATTTGCTTGCTGTGTCACTTCCCTCCTCTTCGTTCCCCATCTCCTATCCTCTCCGTCCCAAAGATCGCGATCCTGTGGTCTCGTCCTTCAAGGCCTGAAGACCACAGATTCGTTTCTCCTTTATCCTCTGCCCATCTTACCTCGTCCTCCATCGCATAGGACTTTGCTAATCCATACCCTTGAGCTTTCTCTTTTTGTCTTTCTCACCCTCATCTATGGATGCATGATATTTGGCTTCTTACCGTGCTTCCTCATGCATTTGTATATTATATCTAGATATATACCCATATTCCCCAGCAACACCCACTCTACCACCCTAATATGCAACGAATACCATTCACCACCGACCGATTCTATGCTATCGTTATATGGCAGGTATCAAAACCTCCCGCCCAATGTGCTTGATTATTAACTCTACCCCTTCCCTCTTCTTCCCCTTCCACCTTGCCCTCCTCTCCCCTCTCGTCCTTATATTCCACTCCTTTCGACTTGTACGGGAATGTGGGATAAACTCAGTCGTTTATCATGAATTTCCCTTTTGTTTTATTCCATTACCAATTTCCCTTTCGTTATGAATTTGTTCTGAGCCACCTATACACCTGTATAGATAGAGAAATATGTATTTCTTAAGCCTAATAGACTTGAATTTTCGGCTTTGATATAAAATCAACCCTAATAATGATGGTGTTATTAATTGAATGTGCATATTCTTTAATTTATTTTCATGGTATATTCATGGGAATCATGTACCCCTGCTCTAGTCTAACAGAAGTCATCAAAGCAACCCTTGTGGATTCAGGGGTTGATATGAACGTTCTATACTTCAGCATCAATCATCCGAAACTTTCTGCTAGTTTGGGTGGGTATCAAGAAACAGAAACCGAAAACAACCCCAAAAAGGCAATAGCATAAGTCCAAGAATATAATCTTAGCCATGAAAACATAAATGACATCCCAGAAAAAGAATCCCCCTCTCCTCCCCTAAATACGTAGGTCACCGGTCTAATTAGCAACTAAAAAACTCAACAAACTCCCTGAGGTCAGCCCAGCCACCAGCATAAAACCCATAAACCCACCCGCAGCCTCCCTCTCCTCAACATCTACCCACTCCCCTGCGCCCATCATACATGACGCGCCAATATACCCATTCGACACACCGAAAAGAAACTGCACGATAACCAAGTAGAACAGGTCGCTGTTAATCCAGGCGCCACGCCCGTGTATATTACACATCATGTACAGTGAAATAAAGCCAATGCGGACGACGGAGAAGAGGAAGAGCAGGACTGGGCGGTGGTGTATGTTTATTTGCTGGATGAGGAGGATGAGGCGGCCCACGAGGTCGCCGGTGTTCCAGAATAAGATGGCTAGGGGGATGAAGATGGGAGATCGGAAGAGGAGGGGGAGGGGTTTGGTGGGTGTCGTGCCCGTGTTCGTGTCTCTGACGCTGCGGATCTGATTGGTGAAGACGGGATAGGCCATTGTGATTGCGTAACATAGGAAGACAGCCAGTGCCATCCAGCGGAGTTTTTGGAATAGGGTCCAGAGCGGGACTGAGTCCTTGGCTTTGTGGTGGTGGTGATATTTGTTGTAGAGAATTCGGGCTCTTCGTCAGTTGGTCCGATGGGGATGGCGGTTTTGAAGAGGGTTAACTTCTTTTGACGACGGTGGAGGTAGAGGAAGGCGGGGAAGGAGATGGCGGACACGAGGGTGGCGGTGATGAAGAATGCGAAAGCTGATTTGGATGATTTGTATTGCATCTCTTTGTCGCTCACGCCCTCACTTTTCTCCGACACAGCGATGACTGAGAGGATCTGGACTATACATGGTAGAACACCCGCCACGCCTTGTCCTGCCATGATGGCCTGTGTATATTCACTCCGTCCAAACCCAGATGCATATGCGAACAGCCCATTCTGATTATACCCTGTTGCAATACTGGCACCCAGAACCATCACGAGGAGGAAGGTGAAGTAGATGGGGACGGAGACGGAGCGGAATAAAATGGCGGACAGAGCCAACAGGGTGAAGATGACCATGTTGAGGATCAGAGATGAGGTGATACGCCGGGGATAGGAGGCATTCATCTGTAGTTTTGCCAGGACCAGGACTGCAGCTAGGTTGACGATGGAGGAAACGGACAAGATGCAGGATTGGAAGTTTGCCTTGACCCAAGGGTTGGATGCGAAGCGGAGCTGGAAGTATGGGGCTGCGGCCAAAAACATGTTCCTAAGGGTTCAGATATTAGTTTCTGACTTTCACATAAACATGCATATATAAAAATAACATATACACAAAGCTCTATGCAGCAGCAGAACTGTTGTCGCAGATCATTAAACAATCAACATTTGAAAGTGAACATACCAAGCCCAAAGCATATTCATTCCCATCCAGAAGAAGATGGAGTACTCCAGCCATGAGAAAGGTGAAGATGCGTAGTCCTCCAGCGGAAGCCCGCTGTCACTGCACGACACGCCATGGTCAATAACCTCATCATCCGCTTCATCCCGCAGTTGCTCGTAGGACTGCTGCCGCCGTTCAAGCAGGCCCCTCAGGCGGTTTTCCAGCATGGTTAGCTGGAGCAGGTGAAAGGGAACAGTCAAGCGAGTTGGCGGGAGGGCTGCGGGAGGGCGGCAGGTTAAAGCATTATCGCGAGGTTGAAAATGAAGAGGGATATATACGGGGCATATCGCTGGTGTTACCGTTATACCCCCGCCGTGAACACGAAGCGTCTATGGAGTAAATAACGGAGTAACATGAAGATGAGATCGATGTAGGTGGCCATTCCTAATTGGGGATAGCCCTCGAAGGGTTGTGCTTGCTCGTGTTACATGGTTGGGATTGATCTTATCAATCATCTCGAATCAGCTGCAGTTAGCTACATTTTAACCCGTATTTCAACATTCAAATCAATATCTACGAACTACGGAGGTCACTGGCATGCATCTTGAGGTAGAGATGTGGAAGAAGTAGCAAAGCAGAGCGTGAAGCGGATGGCATCTAACTCAAATTCCAATCATGCGAAACCTCGAAAACCATCGTGTGTGCCAGCCAGCCGAGACACTTCACTAACCACCTAATCTTTGCCGTCAGGTTCTGCGGTGAAGTCTGCATCCCAAAGCTTCCAAACGTCGGGATCTTATTCCCATCACCATCACCAGCTCCAATAAGAAAATGATGTGTGCAGAAAGGAAACGACCATCAGACCCAGGCTTCCTTGGGCCAACACGAATCACCTTCGTCTTCGACCTCGTGCGTCTAGTCACCCTTAATACCCCTCCTCGAACCTACCCCATGATTCTCTTTGTGGCGCAAGATCATGATCTAAGATGTCTCCCATCCTCAGCCTCTCTGATGGCTTAATTAGTTCATACTTTGGCATTAGCGAATTGTTTCATCTGCTATATTATCTGTTGATTCACTACTGACTGAGGAGATGGCCCGGGTGAAACATGGTGTTCAGGCATTCCTTCGTCAGAGGCCGATGACTGCAAAGGCGGTATGTCATTCTACAGGCAGTGCAGTGATAATGGCACTGGTATATGCAGTTATTCATGAGAAGATAATTTTCTTCTTGAATGAACTGAATTTGCAGGCAGGATGATTCCATCGGGCTGAAACATTCAAAGACCGCTGAAGATGGCCACCCGGCTAGCTGACCACTACCCCAGGCCTGATGGCAAAAGCATATCAAGGGAGATCATGGCATTCCCTGATGTGGTCCCCAATAGATATTATACTGTATATGTGCAGAACCCAGGGTGAAATTTGACAGTTCGCACCTCCAAAATGAATAAACGCAAAAGCTGCCCACCACCCATTATCCCCAATGAAGAAACGGGGGAAACAAAAAGGAACGTATCAACGTTGCAGCAAACATGAAAACAATAGGTCACATATCTAATCAGTATTATTCAGTCTCCATTAATATGGGCTGCCACGCTATGCTGCGTTTCGAAATCTGTGCCGGCATAGCGGGTGGGTGGGTTTCATCGACCAAACCATAGATCTGACACGATATCTTTCATCTTCTGCGTCACGGTCTGTCTTCCTAACCATCCCAACTTCCAGGCGCATGAAATGTTTCTTCATGCAAAGAAGTAATGGTCTTGCGTTGAGCGCGTGGACAGTTTCCGTTGGGCATCCATGGATTCTTACCATCGTCATACTGTGACCGGCTGGCCACACACGTGCACTTACAATGTTACTCAACGCAAGTTGTGAATTATAGGTCCATTTTCGTTAATCATAATTCGTGAGCTACGGAAAGGCAAACAATGTCCAAATTGAAAGGAGGGCACACGCTTTTCCAGATGAAATGTGCTAATGCTCTAATGATATTTGCCATCTATCAACGCCAGTGTTCTATGCAATCTCCCACATAAGGTGCTGGTCAGAAGATCTCGGCAGTTACATGTGTCCATCATTGTATCCAGAAAAAAATAATCATACGAATGTTCGACAGTGGTTTACCCTGTCCCCTATGTACGACTTCTCCAGCCAATCCCCCAAGCCCCCTCCCTTGCTTTTACTACCAAGAACCACAAAAATCTGCGTGATCAACAATCTGCATCAATCATATCCGCATACACATTCAGCGAACTCCCAATAACATCAACAATAGCCCAAGTCTGCGTCCCTCCGAAAATCTTCGCCCACACCCGCAGCACACCCGAATTTATCTGCTTGATCATCACGGCAGAATTCAGAGACTTGATCTCCAAGGGAGCAAATTCCGTTTCATCCAGCATCATTTTTACAAGTGCAGCTATCCGCCACTCATCCTCCGTCACCGGCGGATCTGGATGGGGAAGTGATAACGCTTCCAGCCACTTGCTGAGCAAACAGGCGCATTCCAGGGAACATAGAGAGTGCTGAATTGACCAGATGAATGACTGTGTTCGCGACATGAGTCGAATTCCGACTTTCACGGGGACACTCAGGTTGTGGACGGAATGCAGGACTGCTCGAATGAGATTCGGCGTGCGTTTGATGCGCGGGCTTGCAGCAAACGCTCTGGCGATCTGTACCGGATCGCGAGTATCCAGCGCCCGTCCGGGGCCTGTATCGACAATCAACCTAATATAGGCGAGTTGCAGAAGCGCAGTTGAGTTGAATGCCGTCGGCCCATTAGCACCCTGTGGATCGAGGTGTGATTCGACATGGCATTTCCAGCCTGTTTGCCAGTTACGCAGTGCGTTCTCGGTTGTTACTAGATCATCCGGTGCCACATCGTGATTGCCATCGAATCTACCCCCATAAAACTGACGGAGGAAATATATATGTTGGATTATCGCATGGATTAGAATGTAATTGCCCAGCGATGAATTGTGTTCCATGATGTCGTGCCCACCATGCGAGAACAAGCGGCTAACTGCTGTCTGGAAATCTATTTGAGGACCTCCAGCGTTCCCTCTCGCCTCCAGCCATTTCAGCCGGTTGGATGCATTGAACTCTACCGCGCTACAGGGAAGTTGAAGATTGAGTTCAGAATTCAGGATGAGGGATGGGATGTTATACACGATGCAGTGAAGGTTGAAGAAACAGTATACGGCGAATTTCGTCCGTTTTCTGGTTTCGATTTGGATCCACTCGTCCCATGAGATATCATCGGGCACGGGATGACTTCGGAGGCCATCGTCTCGGACAAGAGTAGAGAGCATGCTCTGGAGGGCCAGAGCTTCGCGCACTATTTCCCTATGCTTTGCCCACGTTGCTATTGCCATTAATATTAACAGCGCCTGCGTTGCTTGAATCAGATCTTCTCGGTCTGGTGCTACCAGTGGGGAAGGTTGCGATTTCGGAAGTAAGTTAGATGGTCCAGGCATGGATTGGGATCGATACGAACCGTGGGGAGTTGAAGCATCATCCATACCATGGGCTGAAGAAGCCAATTCTGACTTCGAGCGACGATTTAATGCCGCAAGTTTGGCCTCTCTACGCCTAATACGCTCCATCCCGATTCTCTTACTGGCATAAAACAACTCAATGGCTTTTTCGTCCTCGAAGCAGTACTGTGTCCCCAAGGCGGCCATGGCGAGAATGAGCTCTACAGAGCAACTACTGACGGACATTGTGGGGACATGCAAGAACGGGAAATGCTCGTGGAAACCATTTATATAGCCAGCGACGTAACGAGACAGTGCAAGACGGGAAGGTAGCTGAAACCCAGCAGGTATTACGGAGAAAAATTCACTTAATCTTGACTGAATATCTCGCATGCCATCAGGCGAAATCTCAGGCAACGGGGTCTTCGATGGAATGGTATGCCCAGTTTGACGCTTCAAGCTCTGTTCCTTAGGCAATGGAGGTGGAAGCCGTGGCCAGAACCAAGAAGGGGGGCAAATTTTGTCGGTCTGATCGGAATTCTGTTTGTAATGGGCTGCAGCTTGCCGTGGGAGACCTGCCCCAAGTTTTCCTGGATGGCCTGACAATTCCGGCGCAAAAAACAGGGTCGGCTGCTCCAATCTAACAATTGCTGCAAAATGGTGCGATGAGAGCACACCGTTATCCAGGACTAGCGCAAGCTCATCAAGGGAAGTCTCAAAGTCCACGTTAACATCACAGGAGTTGATAACCACAGACTGCTCTGGTGGCCTGGAGGCTGGCTCTTTTCTGAAGTTGTTGCTGGATTCAGCATTTTCTGGGGCAGTGATTGAATGCAAACAACGGTTCGTCTGTATGTTCGTGTCGGCGATTTGGTCAGGCATTTCGAGCGCTACATGCTCAGCGGCCATTGTCAGTGTGGCCAGAGAGTGTTTGCCAGCGTCGATGATTGCTTGCACGGAAATAGGTGGATCCACGTCACCAGCTGGATGCATTCGTATATCCCCATCCTCCCCTGATAGTGGAGGTTCAACGATCGGGGATGGGGGCGGGTATGGCGCAGGAGCGGAATGGGAGGCATTTAGCTTCCTGGCCGCTGACTTCCTCGTCTTGGGAGTGTGTGGGTTCTTTTTCCGAGACCCGTCTTTGTTGTGTGAAAGACGTTGGTGTCTGATCAAGAGATCACTACGTGAGTAAATAAATCAGCAAAAATCCGTGAGCAACTATAGATATTTATCCCTCCAAGATCTATCGGGAGTTCATCACCTAGCCCTAAGATTTCGATAGGTAGGGTATAAAAATTTACCTTCTGGTAAACCGGTGGTCACATAACTGACAGCAAAAGGGCTTTTCCTGGGTATCTAGATAACGAATACAGTTACAGTACAACAAAGTCAACTCAGTCTTCACATCCAGACAAAACACATAATACGAGCTATATTTATTATAGCTTGTATTGATTCTATAGAAAAGGCAGTGTACTCACGTATTCTCTCATGGCGCTGAAGATGCTCGAGTCGTGCAAAGCGCGTCTGACACCGCATGCATTGGAAGCGTTTAGGTTTCGTGCCCGTGTCGCGGGTTGCCTTCTCCCCTTGCGGCACCTCACAGCTGGCTACGGGAGAGTCAACCATGAAGACGGAGGATGATTCTATAAGTCACTTGGGGAAGCTTTGCTGGGGGGGGGGGAACTGAGATTGGGATATACAGGGGATGGAGAGGGGGGAGGGTTCACTAGCAGCAGCATACATTAGTTAGTTACTGCTACTTACTTGCTGCTAGATACTGAGAGGAAGAAGAAATCGCAGGGCAATGTCCAGCATTGCCCCATGTGTCTTCTCTCAAGCAGCCCGTGGAGTGATCGTTGCTGAGCTTGTTAAACCTGAGAATCTTCCTTCCACCAATGGCCGGCGTCCATCTCAAAGAGATGGGGGCGGGGGGGAGGGAGGTTGGGGGCAACTTTTGCGGGGAAGCGCGCTGCCTGCGTGGGATGTCACGTCACGTTATTTAGTTGCTGCAGCGTCCGGACACCAGATAACTAACTACTACATCTTTATAAAGAACTTCAGTTATTACAATCTTGATATTAATGGGGGGGGGGGGGGGGTTATTTTCTTTGTGATATATGATGATTTTCCCCTCTTGACTT